ACCAAGTACCTCGTAGATTGTAGTTGAGCGCTGTAACCGCTCGTCCACTGCAGCAGTGCTTGCATTTGCCCTATTGCTGATATATCGTCATTCCTTCGAATGAAGCCAAATGCAAAAACGTCCGGTGGAACTTTGTCAAAAATAAAAAAATAGTTAGAATGCGTTTGCCCAAGGTTACTAGAAGATAGAAACCGCCACGTGTGACTGTATAACCGTGCGCTATTTATTCTTGTACATTACTGTCATGACGTTGGGATAGCCGGCTGTAACGTAGGCTACCTTCTCATAGTTTGCCAAATATAAATAAGAAAATAAAAATATATAACAGCCTGTGACAACGCTAATCAACTATTATGAGTTCACTGTCACTAGTGTCACTTTCACTAGATGAATGCTCTGTTTGCTTCCATTATCGTTATTTAGGAAAGATTTGGCTCATTAACTCAACTCGCCTAATTAGCAATGATTCTCACATCTAAGGACAGTCACACTTCATTTCGCTTTCTGAGTGGCTGTCACTCCCATATAACGCGTACTCCTCTTTTTCATGCTCTCCGAGCATCTGACGCTGCTTTGCGGAGACTTTCCCTGACGTCTGCTGGGCCAGAGAATTGTCTTTATTATCTATCAATTTCAAGCTTTCGTGAAGCCGAAACGAGAGTCTCTCTCTCTCTCTTCATCCTTTTCGCACGTGTGATAACGTCTCTCGACCTCAAGACTCGTATACACGTCCCTTGCTTTGTTTGCGCACTCAAACAACGCTGGACGAAATATTTGCACCGTGTTTTGTGAAAAGCATTAGCACTGAGACACCTCCGGACGAGTCTTCCTCATTTTACGTAGACATATACCTAAGCGTAAGCGTATGCACGTTCTCGCATTCCGGCTTTATAAAAATGCTGCGGTGCATGGAACCAGCGAGATTGCGCTCACAATTTCATTTGATTACTGCTGTTATCTATTTTAGCACAATTCGTCTGCAGGCACCAAAGTCGCTGATGTGTCTTGTAATAAGAATATTGTAGCAAAGGCTACCTTTGACTATAGGCACAAAACACCCTTACGTTCACCACTATACCGTGCTAGATTGCACCGAATTAGTTAAGTAGCAGCGCAGCTTCAATGAAATGTAAGGTAAGTGGTCGCTCTAAATAAGGGAAGACATTCAAGGCACATTTTCAAACATTGCATGCATCGATTTATGTGTGGTTTCATTTATGTGGTGCACCTGGAGTGTTGTTTACTTGTACTTGGTGAGATAGTGCATGGATTGCTCGGTGGCTTAAGGCCATCAAGCAATTATTTTTTTTAGCTACAGTCGTTGATTAAAGGCGAGTGCTTGGCTTTGCACAGCCCACCAAAACGTCTATTACAACGTACGCGGCATCCCGTAAGCGCTGTAGCAGACGCTCGTGGAACTTAAACTTAGATGCAGCAAATCATTGGCTATCATCGTATACTCTCGATGTTAGACGCTTTGCGTGCTACCTTGATATTATCGACACACACTTCTTTCTTTCCTTGTCGTTTCATCAGCTATCGTCTGTCCTCCTTGCCCTCTTAAGTGCTGAATAAGTTAAATTCATACCCGCGCTATAGTAATCCCTCCAGATAAGAGAATCTCTGGCTAAAAAAATGCGTAGCCAAAGAGAAAGCTTTGTGAATTCGGGCCCTGAGTGATAAATAACTCGAACAATAAAAGAAAATGAAGGCATTGTGGTACATCATTTTAAAACTGACCTTTATCATTCAATATAGTCGACAAACAATGCAATCGTTCCCATGACCCTTGTAAACAAGCAGTTATAATAGCGCAAAATAGGCGCAACGTCAAACTTTTATTGGTTGCCTCAACCTTCGCATATTTCGTATGTCAATTATAGTATATGAAGTACCTGTTTTCTGAACTCAAGTCATTTCTTCGCGAAATCAAAGCACTTCGATCGTTGCTCTCTATATACGTATCTATCTATCTTGCTGCCTATGCCTGCCAGCAGTCCAGGCCATCTTCTTATCTAGACACTTACCAAAGTTTGCATAAGAAGACATTAGGGTATAGAAAATCACGATGAATGGATTATAAAATGAGTTGCGTGAGATTCTTGACGCGCAAGTGATGAAACCCTTCCTTTCATCCCGTGTGTCCCCTACCCGCATACCACGGCCCACGGAAAAAAAATGTATGAGCCACAGGTGATAGAAAGTTTTTATAAAACCGGTAAACTTTCCGCGATAGGGTAATGGTGTTTGTATGGCGGAAAATGCAAGACAAGGATCGGCAACGTTGTCGGTGAGCAACCGCAAGATAGAAAATCGCATCTTCAAGAAAGTAGCCGAAGCCCACCCTCTTTTCATGTTGTTGCTCCGTGAAATTGATATTTTCGAAAGACAGGAGCTTTCCACAATTAGTTCAGGCTTACCGCAAGCGTCCCTGCGCACCCCGGAAAAATGATATGGGCTTCGGGCACGCTTTAGACGTATTCATAAGTACTCAAAATGCACAAAGAAGTGAGTCGAGCTAGCAACGCTCGACTCATATAAATTATTTTAACGTGTTTGAAGCCATGTACTCACCGATTGCTTGTCATGCTAACTTCCAGAATGACTGGTATCTGCCGCATTTTCCAATGAATAAGAAGTATCTAGCTCAAACGCGGCCGGCCACTGATGTTGCAAAACATGTTCTAAAGCGGCATGACCAATTAAATAATTAAATAAATAGACCACTCCTGAAATTGTATGTGTCTAAATTGCGGTGCATTTATAAAGTACGCCAAAGTGGCCGATAAGGTATTTATTTTTACTGCATGCTTTTTTCTTCCAACGTACAGTAAAAGTTTATAAGTACGAGGGCGCTCTTGCGATCGGTTCCCACTTCAATGCGGCTGCCGTGGTCGAAAATCTATCGCGTGTTCTCGAGCTCAGCACAGTGATAGTTTCCATTTCAAGCTACCGTGATGCCAAAGATCCAATGATAGGCCTGCAATTATTCCGATTTGATACTGCGACACGTCACAACCAGAGTACCTCCACCGTGGTGGTGCAGTGTTTGCGGCACTCGGCTGCTGACGCAAACATCGCGAGCTTGATCTCGACCATAGCGGTCGCGTTTCCATGGAGGCGAAGTGATAGAGGCCCGTGTGCTGTGCGATATCAGTGTACGGTAAAGGACACCAGGTAAAAGAATTTTATACAGCAGTTCATTGCGGCATGCCTCCTAATCAGGCCAACGGTGGGGTTGGGGCCTGTAAAACCATAGACAATGCCCTACCTGGGCACAAAGGTAAATATCTGAGCTTAGAGAGCGAGTGAACAAAAAACATTTTCAAGCACGCACGCTTGCCACTTACAACAGTACAACATCAGGACGTCGCAAGAATTGCTTGAAAATGGTTGTAGCAAGTGCATAGCGAATATCGCTCGCTCTGAAGTTAATCCGGCAGCAATGAGCGAATGTGCCTTCCGTGAATGGGCATAGAAAAAACGGTTGCCGTTTAGACCCAAGAGAGGACGCCGGAATGCTCCTGGAGTTCTGCCAAACCAGAATAGACAAGTCTGTGAATTTTTTATGCATTTCAAATAACTCACACAACATTCTGCAAAAGGAAGTGGTCCTTTGTTTTCCAGTCGATACAGCGCGCAGAGCCGACGACTCTAAAGCTCAGAATGAATTTTTTTCCATCGTAGCACTGGGGCATGATGCCAGCAGTTCTGTGAAAACAGTAGGCTAACTCCAGACATCAAATAAAACATCACCTCCTCACTTGCGGTCTCGTCGTATTCGTTGTGTCAATACACGTCTCAAAATAACGCCTAGAAACTCGAGTTTCTGTGAAGATGTTGAAATTCTCACAACGTTGCTTCTGTTCGATGAGCGCGTATCATCGCATAAGTATTCAGTTTCGATGTTTTCCGGTTGGTATCAGTTGCCTCTGATCCACTCCTCACGTCCATGTCTAGCAAACAACCTGCTGCTTTCCGTCGTTCACACATTTGTTCATTGCATTCCAAAAATATCTCGAGTCTGCCGTTATGCCCTATGCGCGAAGCCGGTTTATGTGTGCAGGCACGTGCTACAAAGCTTTACTTGAATTGTGGACAGTGCACGCATGGATCCAAAACAAAGAAATGCGCTTCCTTTAAGCTCACTGAATTTTTTTACAACGATAAAAGACGCGCTTGTTTGGGGGCGCGAGAAAACATATTGCACTTCCCGTACTGGCACTTTGATGTTTCGGTCTCTTTTGGAATTTCGGGAAAAGCGAATAGACCTAAAATACGTTATGTTGTTTTGAGAACTTTATGCTTCTGAATACGCAGCTATCCTTATTTCCCACGTCTTTGCTGAACGCGCATTGTTACTTTCTTATCGTTATTGCACTTTCCTGAAAATATGCAAATACTGCAGTGATATATTATTATTATTATTATTATTATTATTATTATTATTATTATTATTATTATTATTATTATTATTATTATTATTATTATTATTATTATTATTATTATTATTATTATTATTATTGCCAAAAATCACAATATTATTACGCAAGCGGCCATAGTGAGTCTCCGGAAATTTCGACTGACTGGGAATGGTTAACGTGCACCTAAATGCACATACGTGGGCCTCAAACCTTCTCTTCTCCATCCAAAATAGCAACAGCCGCAGCCATGAAACTAACAAGTAGTGACCAGTGCGGTCATGCGGACTTCCCAATACAAATATATATCTTTGGTGCAGTTGTACGAGCCACACATACAGAACGAATTTAACGCTTGGGCGAGCCCTATAAATTAGCTGAAAGATTCATCAGGGCGACAAACGAACGTGATTAATTGCTATTTCAATTATTGTGGCACCTACACTGTTTCTGAGCAAGAATAAAATATTAAACCACCTATCAGAGTTCAGTATGTCCAACAGTGTCTTGTCGATGGCCAAACAAATTACATAGTACAGCTTAGTAATACATCTTGCCTTCTAAAAGCACTTTCCTTACCGGGTTCAAACTCAAGCCGCCGCTGCTGCCTATAGTTGGTCTCCGGGATAGCAAGCACGCACTCGAACACGTACTCCACGTGGCCGGACTCGTCCAGCGCGCGGCTGTCCAGTGCGTACGTCAGGCGCACGTGGTAGCCGGCAGCGCCTTCGGCGGGGGTAGGGGCCACCATCCTGGCAGGAGCCGAGGCCACCGGTCGTGACACGGGATCTCGGCCGCTGCTCTGGTAGAGGAACAGCGTCGGCTGTGGGAACACGCCGTCCGCTTCACACGACAGGTTCGTCACGTGCGCCGACACCCGCTGGTAGGTGAAGTCAAACCTCTTGGGAGGAGCTGCGGGCGAAGAAAATAAAAAACACTAAGCAAGGAGTTCTGGGGTAGAAACAAACTGTCGAGGTTCAAGGAATCGTTGCATCTTAGAATAAACACTCGAACGGCGTAACACTCAGCAAAAGGCACATATATGGTGGCAAACACTGTGCGGCCTGTTGTTGTAACAACATGGTATACTTTTGCTTTTACGTAGACCACTAAAATTGTCACCTATTGTCTCTTGAGTATACTGCGGCCTATTGTAACCTTTCGTTATTTTGGTTTGAAACAAACTAACTGCTCGAGCAAAACTTCTTAGTCAGCAATCATGGCACAAGTTTTTATTTCATTCCGTCAATCAATCGTTCAATCCCTCAATCAGTCAATCAGTCTGTTACAGAGTAGAGTGTGTATATTGACAGCACATGTACAGGGCAGTGTCGGGAAAAACGCGACTTCCTGTCTAGCGAAGTGTGGTAACCCATCCCAGGTATTAAAGCACACAAAAAGCACTGGCTTACACATGCAAAAAAATTATGAACAAGTAAGCAGCCACAGGTTCACAATTTTTTTAGCTGGTGTGACATTTGTATATCTGTTTATGACCTTTTATAAAAACATTGTTAGAAGAACACTCATACATTGAGAACTGCCTGAAAGATTCAGTTTGTAACAACGGTGTATTGTAACATTCTTTTTTCAATGACACAAAGCAAGGTATATGTGGGAATAGCTAGACCTATTGAATAACAAACCATGTTAATACTATTCACTAAATGAAATTGTTCCAGGTATTTCTACACATCAATTTTAATGATAACAGGACGGATGCATTCCACAGAAAAAAAAGTTGGGTTTGACGCGTCACTATATGCGCCTGTACATTCTTTATAGTCCCAATTACTGAGCGGCTCATCTGCACTGTGATGTTAACTGTGGCATGTACATTTATTAGTTCGGGGATTACATGCGCTAGCCTTTCTGTATCGTATTTTCTCGTACTCTTTCGCTGCAGTGTGTTATGCGTCTAAGGTTGTATGTTTTCTGTCATCGAGAATATGCATTATGGAATGCGACCCCGTTAGACTTTGATCTCTTACGTAGGATCATTGCTATACTCAACATCTTCTCCAACAATTATATGTTGTGTTTGTTATAGAGGGAAAAAAAGTGCGTTCTAGGTCGGGCACCTTCGTTTCTCCGTACCACCCATTTTTTTAGTTTATGAATGCATTGTTTCTTTCTTTCTTTCAATAGTCTTCTGCACATTAAAAAATAGCGAATACGCGAGTGTACTAAACAATAATACATTTGCATTATTTTTCAAATAGGCAAGCAAACATCTGATTTCCCTGATTACACCAACTCACCGAGAAAGATCAATGCGAACATTGCTCATGTGATATGTCAAGTAGAACGTTTCATGAAAAGTAATACCAAGAAACTTTCGGCATAAGACCTGTTCAATTTAATATTCTCATAATTACTTGAGTGCCACGGCGTATACTTTTATTCGTTCGGTCGTAAATACCATATTTTATTTTTTTTTGCGCCACACAGTCCACATTTCATATAAGCGGGATGCTGGTGTGCCTTTTACTTAAGCAGTAATGCAAGTGCAACTGCTAATCATGAAAAGTTTTGAACAGGGCTATGACTGGAATTATCATTTCGAGAAGCAAACTTATCTCTGTCAAGGCAGTAGTTGATGCCTTGGACAGGTGTCCTCGTCAAAACGTGCTTTCTGTCGATACCTCTATTCAAAAAGTTTTAGTCTCTTTTAGCTTGCATTGTTTGAAGTTTTCCCTTCTTTCTAGAAGGTGACACGTGTTGCGGTTACAAGGATCTACTTAGGACACTTCCAGAAAACTTACTGCGCTTACATAATCCGACGTGCGTTAGTTCGTATAGCCTTTCTTTTCAATAAGTTCTAAACTTGTCAGCAAGATTCAAGTAGCAACATTGACTAAGAAAATATGTCTAGAATATTTTTATTGTAATTTAAGGCGTTCCAGCGTAGACTTCCATATTAGCCAGCAGAAACAAGGGATAACTTTTAAAGTGATGGTCAGGAACGTGTTCTACATAAATTCCCAAAAATTTGCAAGCACGCCCATATTCACGTTATTTTTCTACCAAACCTACTTTGACGATTTGTAGTGACATACAGTGTACAGTCAACAGTGCAGCACCCACAGTAATTCAAAGCAGACCTTCTTTCTGAATAGCAGCACGCCGCTAATTCATTACTTATTTCACCATTCGCGCATACATAACCGCCTTCTTTTTAAAATGATTTTTTTTCTCACAACGTGGTGTATGGTTTTTATATTATTCAGGCTGCATCAATTTTTAAAATCAATGTCTAACTATTCTGATCTCTTTCTTGATAACTATACTTCATTCACATTTCTCCTCCGCTGCGTTGTTGCGCTCACCACTCAAATTTAGTTATAATCCTTTAACGACCCCTACCTAATTGTTTCGTTTAGAAAGCTATGGGATTCAGCCAACTAGTTTCCCAAATGTCATCGTAAGACCAAGTGGGCAGTAAGTAGAGGCATCAAAATTCTCCGTGTTTTAGCACGTAATCACCGTTAAGCGATAACTTGAGGACTGGCAGTCTGGCACAGCAGATTTCAGACATCACCACTCCTCTTCCTTTGCTTCCTCACACGTGAACACCACTGCCGTTAAGCCAAACGGGATGTCATTAAGGGGCAGAAAAACTTCATTACGGCCCCAGATTAGTATTGCCAGATGCATCGAAGGCTACCTGACTTGACACAATGATGCACTGAGAGTTCTGTATGGATGCAAATGCTTTCTTCATCTCCCTTTCAGCCTCCTCACTTTTTTTTTCATTCCTGAGGCTGGCAGTTTGCGGGCAAAGGTGGCGTGAGTCCAGCTCTATGTTGAGCAGGGTCTTTCTCGCCTTTATCTTTTTTGGACTTCGGACGCGTTGCTAATAAGCCATTGGCTACCGGCATTGTCCAAAGTTGCCGCCCCACTTACCAGCGCTTCTTTAATGACCTTCTGCTACTAATTACCCTGTGCGCTATTTCGCGCATGGTCATTACGGAAGCGTAGAGGAGAGGAAAGTTCGCCCTAATACTGTGGCAGCCCGCACTGTGCGTTCTTGTGCATATTAACGGGAAGAGTGTTGGCGATACGGTGGTAATACTAAAGTTTCGACTGTGATTAACTAACTTGGACGTCAAATAATATGAATTGGTACCCTGCTTATAGAGTGTCTAGGCAGCATCTGAAGTTTATGAGTGAGTAGGTAAAATGTGTATGCGATGAACATTTCAAATGTGAATCAGTTCATGTGCATCGTAAGGCACTTTGACCTTTCTGCCTGCGTGTTTGTTTGTATCTAGCCGCCTACGATTGGCTACTCTAGCGATCGCCTCCTTATCGTGGTGCCGAGCTAAATCTGTATTAGAGAGTAAGAAGGTTTGATGGTTACGAATTTCCAGTCCTGACATGAGTAACGTAGTCTTGACATGGATAATGTAGTCATGACATAAGTAACTTAGATGCGTCTCGCGATCATTTTGCTTCAATTTGTCACAACTGGTCTAGCGCCACACTTCCATAGTGTGAATTATTCAACGCAAGTGTTGACGTCAAGAGTTGTATATGAATTGGTGCATTGCTTCATGAAAGATTTTATTGCTATAGAATCATTCACTCTGACTAGCTTTTTGAAAACATTAGGCAGCAAAAGATGGTTGACAAGAAGACAATAACATCCTGGAAACGTGATAGCAATAATCATCATAGCAAAATTCAACCACTAAATCTGTTATTTAAATGTTGGTCCGCTTTTCTTAAATCACGAGTTATTTCCGCTATACAAGAAACGAAGTCACCTGAGCGACACTGGACCCCTTCAACCTTATTCACAAGTGTCAGAACATAGTATAAAAAGAGCATTCTTAAGTACAACACACCTAGTTTTTTTTGTTTGTCAATGTGTGTATACGTTCACGTGCTAGTGTGTGTTTTGAATATAACTTTCATTACATTGGGATAGCTGGCTCTAACGTAGCCTACCTTGCTCTGTTTTTTTCTTTATGAATAAAAAATAAACGAATATACAAATCTATTTGCATGAAGTAGGTGTACAGTAGCGTGCTTCACAACATAGCACCATTATTTGAAGCGTTAAGAAAAGGAGTACATTAACTCTTTACTCCATGCGGATTGAACCTAACACTCTCGGGCTCCATGGCAAAATGCTCTACTAATTAGAGAAGTCGGCTACGCAACGCAATACAGTATGTCCATTAACGAAATGCGAACTGATGCGCTATCTAAAGTTACCCAGCTGTGCTGAAAGAAAGCTTCAGTTTCCAGCTGCTACAGTCTTGTAGTAGTGGTGTTCGAAAACTAACTAGAGATCGCGGTAACAAGTCACTTGGCACAATGGCTGCATTTTATGGAGATTAAGTTCTGTAGGCCCGTCTCCTTAGATTTTGATTTGTGTTACGAATACTCATGTAGTCCTGATTTCCGGAGCATTCTACTGTGATGTGCCTCGTAATCACAGTCAGGTTTTGAAACATAAGACAGTGACAATCATTACTATTTCAAAAAGGGAACGTCAGCCGCGGTTGAATGACAGCCCCAGCCTACCATAAACGGTCATGAGCTTGGACTCGGAGTCTTGTCCTGCGAGCGACATGACGTGGCAGGAGTATCGGCCGCTCAGCTCAGTGGTTGGCCGCACCAGGTTGAGCGCGCGAAACTTGGTGAAGCTGTTCCCGTTGGAGAGCGAGTAGTCCAGGTTGATGCGGTCCTTTAGGCGACTGGACACGAACCGCTTGTTCAGCTCGGGGATCCACTGGTAGATGGGTTGCGGATCATCGTTGAGGAACCACTTGATCACCAGTGCTCGTCTTCACGGTTCGCGTTGTACACACAGTCCAGAACCACGGAGTCCTCAGTGCCATTCTGCACCCACTTGGGCACCGACAGGTGGAGGATGTGCAGGCTGGACGCCACTGCATTTAAACGAGAACAATACCGGTTAGCGTTTCGATGACTTTGTCTGTGGCTCACAGACGCGATTCCACGTAAATTTCGGTTTTGTGAGTCTGTCAGGACTAGGTGCAGTGCACCTACAGAACCTCATGAAGCCGCCCTTCTGGGTGAGCACTCATGAACCGTAAAAGTGCGCAAAGTCTATGTACTCCTCTACCGATTCAAAATAACAGGTAGGTTTATAGATGGCAGTGCGAATTGAACCCGGTAGCCAACACATCGGAAGGGGACGCTCAACGATAATGCAACCACTGCCCTATATTACATTTGAGGTGCCGCTTCTGCAATCACCGTGGAAGCACTTGAGTCATGATATCATAGTAAAATTACCTTATTTGTACTATTATAGAGTTCCCCACGACATCATCACTCTGCGCTTCCGCAAAACCTGCAGGAATAATACTTTACATTCTCTCAGCCGTTTCTAAATGCACGCGGTAGATGCAAGCGAGGGAAGGCACTGGGAGGTAGAAAAGGAAAAGCCGGCGATGTACACGCTCTCCAACTGACTTTTTAACCCGTCAGAAGGCGCAGTGGTACGCTTTCGCACGCGTTGCAGTGGTCTCTTGAATCGCTCACTCGACAGTGTCTCCGTCAACGTATGCGGTGAAATGAATCCATTCATAAATAAAATAGTTCCCACGAATTCAGATGCACAGAGAAGCGATACAACATCCAATGGTTATAAAATACGTGTGCATTTACAGTGGTTGTTTCTGCCGTTCGTCAAACTGCCTGCGCGTAACTTCCTACTCTTTCGTCAAAGTTTTGTAAGGTCATGCGTCGTTGTAAAAGCATTGTGCTGACATGCCAACAATAGAAGTGATCTTTTGTGGCGCGATAGCAATTATATGACACTCTCGGCGGGTTTTTGCCGTAGCCGTCATGTCCCGAGAATATATATATCACAAAAATTGACGCTGTTCACGGCAACGGCGAGCGAGTGCTTTACGTACAGCGTCAATTTTTGTGAAAGGGAACAAGGGAGTGCGTGGCCAGCGCGCTCCGGCGGCTGCTGCTGGCAGAGCGTCCAAGCGGGAGCGAAAACAAGCACGGCCTATTTTTGCGTCATCTCGTGGCAAGCAAAACAAGCAGTCATTGGTGATATGGGACCAGCGACAAGATTGCGACTCCCTCCTTCTCCTAGGTGATTACCGATCTCTTGTGTAAGTATTTCGATATTAAGTCCACGATGCTCTTGGCACGTAGCTTTGGTACATCACATGTGCCAAACTTTGAAACTTTCTTTGATTGCGAGTCGTTGGGGAATACGGGCTGCACAGTGCAGTTCCCCGCAACTTACAAAGGCCCTCCTTACTTCGTCAGTGCGAACAAACTCAATTTAATCAACTTCCACGCGGCGCTTTCTTCCTAGTGGCAGCATAGCAACATTTAATATACAGATTTATTCTCTATCATGATGAAACTAGCGCCCAAGTTACGCGTCTACGAGCTTTCCTGGTTCCAAGCCTCAGTGTTTTCATCACCACGCCCCATACTGAAAACGCTGTGGTAACGTTCGCCGGGGGTTCAGGCTTGACCAGGAGCTATTTGTTTCGGGAAGACAAATAGGGCACTGGCCAGAGGGCGGATGGGGGGCAAGGGAGCACCTATAGCACGCGAGCGCTCCTTTTTCTATTCGATATAGTGGCAAGGAAGGAGGGGCTCACAACCAAGCAAGAACGGTGGGAGGCAAACTCGTGCTCTACGCGGGCAATGTAAACGCGAGGGAGTTGGGACGGGGAGATACGGTAGAGCTCCCCTTCCTGTAATAGGCTCCATAAATCAGAATCAGGTAGACCGTGCAAACTATGCCGCGACCGACGACCCGAATACCTCGTGTAAGTTTCTCGGCAAATTGCGAAGAAGGTGCGAGATGACCCGTCAGAACCCCGCACTCCAAAACATGCATGGTCAGCCGAGGCCACCACCAAAACAGCGAGGAAGGGAGCGAGTATAAGGTTCATTTCCTAGGCGTCTACAGGCATGAATCCGATCCTGTGTGTATGGTTGAGATCCCTTGAGATCCGTTATCAAACAATGCCTGCCTACACGAGGGCACAACTGCTTTTGTGCCTTCAGGTGCTTCTCAGGAATGACATATGCACAACATAGGAGCCATCACACCGGCGATGAGATTATTCAGCTTCCCTGCGTACAGAATACGAAGTAGTTAAGGCAACATTGGTATACTGCGGTCACGTGTACGAAACGTTGCGGCTTGATGTGTCCTACAATGCACACTTACTTCCTAACGTAATGGCACTACCGGAGATGCATTTCCTTCCGCTCCATTTTATCCTTCTCATTTAATCTTTTACTGTTTCCCTGCAGTTATGACACTTATCCCACCCACGCCTGTCAGTCCCATCTATTTTTAATCACCGGCCTATAGTGTGGTTTAGTTCCTCTTTTCCGCTATGCATGGTCTTTTCTTCTTACCTGCTGTATCGTGTTTCAATCTCTCCTGTTTTTTCGCTTCACTCTTACCCCGTGGTTCGTTACTCGCCCCTTTTTCGCATCTTGCAAGCGATCTTCTGTCTGGTTCTCTACGAATGCAGTTTGTATGCTCCTGAAGTATCTAGGAAACCAACGCCAAAGAATTATGAATCAAATACAAGCGAAATATGTCAGGGTGAGCTCATTACTTATGTATCTCATTACACTGCTTTAGTATGCCGAGGAACAGGGTTCCACCAAAATGTAAGCCCCAATGTGTCCTTAGGCATTATATTAATCGTCCTGAGCTATATTCGCTCTTCTATTTTACGGAGAATTGTGCAACGCAAAGACGCGTCCACCGTAGCGTCAGCTCGTGCTGTCTCACATCCCTGTTGCTCACGTATACTATGATAATTTTTCGATTTCGGCCTTCCTCTGTTCCTGTGTCACTCTCAGCTTGCGGGCCAGTTGAGTGTGTTCTACGGGCGGAGGAAATGGCTTCGCTTACCAATATTCACCTAAAATCCTTAGTGTTCGGAACTTTGTTGATATTCCTTCTAGCCGCAAAGTCACTTCAAAGCATGTGTGAAGCGCTAATTAGAACTTTATCGACAATTCCGAGTGTGAGGAGTCCGGATATATGCAGCTAAGAAAAGCTTACAAGACTCCCTGTGAAAGCATTGAAAAGTAAGCTATACCCTGGGATCAGGTTTATAAACCCTTCGCGCAGTTTGGGGCGTTTAATCATTAATGAATATGCCGCAAATAAACTGCGTACCAAATTTCTAGGCCGCTTCTTTGACGTAAAGAGATACAATTTTATTTATGGTCGTCTATGTAGTCCGACAGGACTACCTCCATTAATTACGACGCCATCGTAAACCAAGCGCAAACCTGTGCCACTAAACGGCTATACGAAAGGACTGGCGCTCTGAACTGCAACAAAACCATTCTGAATAAAGAAAAAGAAAAGCCGAGTAGCCGGCTTTCGTTTCACTTTTACTCGCAGCAACTGTTTTCTCGTGACTTTATGCCTAAATATACAAAAGCACGAGCTCGCTGATTGCCAAACTAAAGAAAACAAAGTTCAATACTCGTTCCGCCAAACAGTAAACTCTGTCTGACGGCGCGAGCATAGGGGAGCACCAAGAGGACCCACCGTTGTATATTTCCTTGTATAAGGGTAGGCGTTGGCTGTTCGACATTTGTGGTACTGCGGCACTTTGCTACCAGCTATGTAAATCACATCTTTCTTCCTGACCTTTTTTTTTTGCCCCGCATATGTTCGTAGTCCCACCCTGCTGCGTGGCTCTCATGCGCCTCCTGGAGTTTCTCTTTTCATGCTCCGATTGCTCCGTTGTTCAGTGTGGCTCACCCTGTATGCAACAGTGCAGGTCGTTTTGGGGGAGCACTGAATCTTTAAGCAACTTCCAGTCGTGCGTCCGTGTTCATTATTGCCTCGCTGCGTCGTGCACCACAAAGGGAGGCACTGACAGCGAGGACACGAGGGGGTTCTGATGGGCGTCCTGCAGAGCCCACCCGCTGGGCTTTATTTGGTTTCATTCTGGCAGTTTGAAACTCATGCTCTGCATGACTGCCTTGCTTACGTTTGCTAAATTTTCCACCGCTGAATCCCTTCAGCATTACCAATGACAGGCACTAGTACTGCAACTAACAATGTAGCACTCTGTCTGTCTGTCTGTCTGTCTGTCTGTCTGCCTGTCTGTCTGTCTGTCTGTCTGTCTCTCTCTCTCTCTCTGTTTCTCTCTCTCTCTATGTGTGTGTGCGTGTGTGTGTGTGTGTGTGTGTGTGTGTGTGTGTGTGTGTGTGTGTGTGTGTGTGCGCAAGCAATGCAAACAGGAAGCAATCAGTTTTTACACCACAGAGTGGCAATCTTTTCTTACGTTATTTAACTATAAATATGAGTTAATTTACCAAGTAACTACACAAATAAATGTAAACAAAACATAAAACCACGACATTGATAGCAGACACATCATGAAAAAGATTTATGTAAAAGCAGTTACCAGCAATTTGCATGACAGCTTCAATACTATTATGGGGAAAACCCGGAAGACAGGACAGCTAAAAAATACAAACGGACAAAATGCCATTGTTTCGCTGTTCCCACGATTGGTGTTGTTTTATCGAAATGCACGCAAACTACTCAGCTCAGCTTAGTAATCTTGGCATAATAGTAATATTAAGAGTATAGATACAGGCCCCGATATTGTAATATTTTTGACACGCGGTTTTAAAATTACCACACAACTAAAGGAAATGGGCACCATTGTGTTTACTTCAACCTTCCACTCAGCGCCATCTCATCTAATATTAATGTCCTTGCAGCCTAATTGAACCAACAATCTAATTAAGTGTAAATTATCATCTCCCAACAGATACTGCGCTCACAAACTGTGCCGAATACAAGTCCACACAAGGCACTTGCATAGCAGTAAGGGCATCCACGCAGGAAAATTACGAGGGCTGAGGAGGCTATGTATGACAGTTTGTAACA